ACATCTGTAACAGCAACACCCCACCCTTAGCTCCAATTCCTCTTCTAGTCTCATCTCTGGTGCTGTGATCAAACATTTGCCAAAATGGACTTGGGTTATAGGTGATAGTCCATCACTAAGGAAAATTAAGACAGAACTCAAGCAGGAACTTGAAACAAAACCATAGAGAAATTCTAGTTGCTGGTTCCCTTAGGCAGACTCCTGCTTAAATGGCTTCCCTACATATTCTAGGACCACTGCCTGGGGAATGGTACTGCCTACAATGTGCTAGGCTCCCCAAATGGGCTAGCAGTCAAGATAGCCTCCTAGAAACATGACCACAGTTCAATTTGATCTGACAGTCCCTTGATTGAGGCTCCCTTCTCAGGTGACTGTAGACTGTATCTAAGACAAGGACGCAGGCCCAATTCCAGGTAACCTTAAGAACTAAACTTTAGTTTGTGGTTTTAAGTAAAGATGTATAACATCTGTACTTATCCTGTGTTTCTTGATGTATCTCTAGGAAGAAGCAATAGGCTCTGGTAGGAAGCTAGAGGATATGCAATAAGGCTGTATGCTCAGAATATCACCAGTTGTCAAATGTTCCCACTTTATAGCTAGAACTACCTGATAGCTAGAACTAGAGAGCTTTGTGGTCCCAGTCAAAATGGGACTGGGCCTTGCATCAGCAAGGAAGAAGTAAGAAGACTGACGCCATCCTTCAGCTTTGTGGAAAGATTTCTAGGACTACAGATCTCAGGAAGTATTGCCAAGAATGGTGACTGAGATAAAAAATTAACATAAAAAAGCAAAACTAGAAACACTCCTCCACCAAGGCTGACATGAACAAAAGCACGGGTTAGACAAGTGTGTAAATGAGTTTTCCTGTCCCAACTGCCCATTCCCAAATAAACACACAGAGGCTTATATGTGAATATAAATGTTCAGCCAATACCGCAGGCTTATTACTAACTAGCTCTTACATTTCAATTAACCCATTTCTTGTCATCTATATATTGCCACATGGCTTGTGGCCTCACCTGTCCTCTAGCATCTTGCTTCCCCAGTGGCTAGCAGAAGTCTCTCCCTGACTCTGCCCTTCTTCCCCCAGCAATTTCAGTTTGGCTTTCCCACTTAGCCTTATTCTGACTTGCTATAGACAGCTTCTTTATTAACCAATGAGAGTAATATATATTCACACTATACAGAAGGATTACCCCACAGCACAAAAGATCTATACAGGTCCTACCTCAGGGCCCAGGGACAAGGGTGCTAGGCACCTCAGCTTTCCCCTGCTTCTTTCTTTGGAAGCTTTTCTTTCTCAATAAATGGCCTCTGCTTCTGCTACCATGCATGTGTCTCGGTCCAGTTTCTTGTTCCACCACATACGACCTAGAAATCCTGGCAGTTGCCACCAGAGTCCAATGTTTGTAACACTAGAACAACCCCTCTGCCACCTTCCAATTGTCTCAGTGTGTTATGAAACCATCTCAGACTCTAAGGGAAAGGGTTTGCCTTTGCCCATGGTGCTGAAGACACAAGGTCACACTACAGAACAGCAGAAATGGCTTTGGCTATCATTGCAAAATATAGTTGGCCACAAGCAGTTTTATGCCTTGCTTTTTACTTAAACGTTTATGTGGAGCTTTTTTGAAAAAAACCAGAACAAAGAGAGATTGTTTTTTTTAAGAGATATTGGTAGTCCTGGGACAACTCATAGTTTATTTAACTGGTTCTCTGCAGATGGGTATATAGACAATATTATCTCTCTTCCTCCCTCTCTCTCCGTTCTTTAAATTTAAATCTCCTTTCCCTACAAAAATTGTGTTTAATCATTCTAGCATTTACATTTTGCCATATATTTAACAATATACATAAAAGGTAAATGAATGTGTTTTATTTTTGTATATATGTAGTACCTCTGGCTTAATTTTTGAAAAACCATAGCATCACAGAATATTAGAAATCAAACATATCTTAAGTCCTTTATTGACATAGGGCCTGTTGCATTAGAATCAAGTGCTAGGCCTAGCCAAATTGACTTGGGGGAGCTCTTCATGTAGAATTACACTCTTTGATAAAGGACTCTAAGAACATCCTTTTGTAATGTCTCCAGATGGTTCTCTTTTCTAACATTTCAGAAGAACAATTTCACTTAGTTTCCTCACTGTATGTGTCTATGCATGTATGGTGTATATGGTAGAGGCTCACTTTGTAGTCCAGACCAGCACTGAACTTGTAACCCTGCTGCCTCAGTTTCCTTCAGAACTGTACCCCATACCTAGTAGTTTCCTTATTCTGTAAATAGAAAAATTAAAGGCAGACTGATGGGGTTTTTTTTGGTACTTTGCTATGATTCTCTTAACATAAAATGTGTTCCTTGGGCCAGGCATGATGACATACACCTTCAGTCCCAAAACTGTAATGGAAGAGGCAGGTGGATCTTACTGATTTTCAGGCCAGCCTAATATATATATATATATTTCCAGACTAACCAGGGCTACACAGTGAGACATTGTCTCTAAAATAAACAAGTTAAATAAAATATGTTCCTCACAGAGCTAAGATTTATTGAAGACAGGACATATAGTTATTCCAGTATTAGTAGCATGCTTGATTTCCTTTTGCCATCTTCAATGTCAAAGGCTTTTTAAACATAATAAAATGGAAACTTGAGGACTGTTAGTATTCAAAAGGAAAACAACAGAACAAGCAAGCTGTGAATTCGAGTGCCTGCCAGGAGTAGGGAGATGGACAAGAAATAGGGCCATGTTTTGAAGTTAGAGATAAGTCTGTGAACAGCTGTGTGTACTGATAGGGCCTTTCAGAGAGTCAGGGCAAGCAGGCTGAGGATTTGAGCTTTCATGATGGTTAGTCTTGATGAGATTTAGAATCACCATTAGACACAAACTTCTGGGCATAGCTCTGATGAAGTTTCTAGATTAGGTTAGTTGAGATAGGAAGACACACCCCCCCAAACATAGGTAGCACTATTCTATGGGCTGGGATCCTGGACCATATAACAAGGAGAAAATGACCTGAGCATCTATCTCCAAATGTTTCTTCTTCTTAGTGACGACCAAATGCTTCCCACTCCTGTCATCATGCCTTCTGCATCAAGATGGGCTTATACCCTTAAACCATGGGCCAAAATAAACCCTCCCCTCTTAAGCTGCTATGATCATGTATTTTATCTCAGCGAGAAAAGAAAAAATACAGTTAGTGTCTGGAAAGGGTAACAGAACCAGAGAAAGAAAAAGTTGGGCATTCTCAGTGAAAGGCTTAGCAACAAGGGTCATCCAGCAACTGCACTGATGGTCCTTCCCCAGATCTGGCCCCTTCCATACTCAGGAATGCTCTCCTGCTTTTTAATAAGCCATCTCTACCAATAGCCATGGGTGCCTGGTCCAATTCTTTGTTCTCACACATGAGAATCTGTAAATGCAGTGGCTGCCACCTATAGAACTACTGTTTGTTTCGGGATAAACCTGACTATAGGCCCCTGACCCCCCTTTGTCTTAGAACATTTATTTAGAAATTATGAAGTTGTAAATGCTCGATAAATCTACCATTCAGGGTTGTTTTTCTTCTGTTTGAACTGTAATCATCAGGAAGGAGGCCACTGTGTCTAGTCTGTGTAGGAGTAGGAACTCCCACAGTGATGGATATCAACTAGCAAACACAGATGGCCCAGACATAGTGATCAAACCTCCCCAGCTAAGGCTCTTTGTCTTTTAATCTCCATACGTGGGATTGTTTAGATCAGAAGGGGGCAGATTCTGCAGAGGGTCAGACAGTCAATGCTTTTGGCTTTGTGGGCAGTATTCAACTGTGCCATAGCAGTGTCCAAACAAACACCCATCCTTTTAGAAGCACAGGACGGTGTTTGGCTATAAAGAAGAATGGAATCCTGTTATTTGCTGCTAAATGGACAGAACAGGTGATTCTATATTAAGTTAAATGAAAGAAACACAGAAAGACAAGAGCTACATCTTTCTCTCTCATATACGGAAACTAAAACATGTTGAGACAATAGAAAAATGAATACTGGAAATGGGAAGGGCGAGTTGGGGAGGAGGATGAAAAGGGGGTAACTGGATTTGATTATGCACATTGTATGCATGTATGGAAATGTGCCACTGAAATCCATTAATATGTACAATTCATTCATGTTGATTTGTTCTGCCTTTTTATCTGGTAGAACTGAGCTGTTTTTTACTGGAATATCTGTTTTCTACATGCATTTATTTAAATAATATAGCTTGTTACTTTTATCAACCATGTGATATAAAATTTTCTTTTTTGACTGTTGTAACAACAAAGGATTTATTATCATTTGCAAATGATATAAACCCACCACCCCATACCTGAAAGGCTTTAAATAACCCCTTTTCAGACTGTACCGTGGTACCATCAACTGCTTATTTTATGTATCCATTTCTAGTAAAGATGCCAACACTTCCCTCCACATCAATTCCCCACTGCCTCTGTTTTATTATAATCTACAAACCAGCATGTTTGTAGATAGGTGCAAACGCTGTAGTCCACACATACACTGGTTAGTCATCACCTTCCTCTTCCTCCTCCTCTTCCTCAAAGCTACCTTCAAATCCCTCACTGTCTTCCTGTAGAAGGGCATCTGAATTTTTAACACGGGAGATGGCTCAGCATGAGAACCTGAGTCTGTATCTCCAGTACACACAGAAATAGAAGTGTGTCCTGTTATCCCGAAACTGGAAGCACTGCTATGCTTGAGAAGTGGACCCAGGAAGATCCTGAGGACCGGCTGACTAGCGTGTAGCCAATCAATGAGCTCTGGCTCAGTGAGAGGGCCTTTCATTATGTAGGCCTACTTAGATTTTCTTCTTCTTGAGTCAGTTTGAATAATCTGTGACATTATACTTTTGTGTTGTTAAGGAGAGTTCAACAGAGATGACCACTCAGACACAGTGTATAGTCAATTGTAAGTTTTTATTCCAGTCGGCTGAGACAATACCCAAGTGGCCCTGAGTGTCCAGATAATGGAGGCTTTTAAGGGCAGAGACCTTGCTGAAGCATCTCACTCAGCAGCTGCAGAGGGGCTTCACAGGGTGAGCAGTTTGAAGCAAGCAGTTTTAACGGAAGCTAAGAGGAGCAGTCAGCCAGCAGGAGGGGGTTCTGTACAAACAGGCAGCCAAGATCGGTTAGCTGGGCAAGGTTCTGTACAAACAAGTAGTTTTAACAAAGGCTAATATAGGTTAGCTAGGATATCCTGATCTTTGGTTCCTAGAATAGAATTGGGTAATTTTCCATGGGATTCTCCATCGAGGAGATCAAATTCTAATTAAACCTGAAGTAGCTTCAGCAAGAATAGAAGATGGAGGAACCGCTGCCTGCTTTGCACGGTCACATTATGAGCCATACAATTTCATCTTGACAATTTTATAAAATGCATGCATACCAAATGAGATATTAAAACATCTAGCCTCAATATTATAAAAGAATGTATTGTGGGGCAGTGGTGGCACATGTCTTTAATCCCAGCACTTGGGAGGCAGAGGCAAATGGTTTTCTATGAGTTTGAAGTCAGCCTGGTCTATAGAACTAGCTCCAGGACAGCCGGGCTACCCAGAGCAAGCCTGTCACAAACAAAAACAACAACAACAAAAATGTTCTTTTTTCTTTCCTTCTTCAGAGGGTCATAACCATAGACAGACAATTTGTTAGGACATGGCCCAAAGACCTTTGGCCAGGAATGGAGCTTTGCCATGCATTCCACAGACAGAGCTTTGAAGCTGGCAAACAGAACCAAACAGAAACATACCTTTAAACCACAAGCCAAGGGGCTATGAACCAGGAAGTGGGGAGCAAAACAAACAAATAAAACCCTGAACAGAACACTAAGTGCTGTTAAGCCAGAAAATAAATTATCTGTAAAATGAGAACAAAACCTATTCAGTTCTTAGGTGCAAATTATAGGGAGTGCCAGGAGCTGGGAAAGGGAGTTCTACCAGTGAAATCACTGCCTGCTTGTTAGAGTTTCCCAATCTAGAACTCTGCACCTCTCACTCCAGTCCAGACACAGAGCAGGACTCCTTGATAACACAGTGACTGAACAGAGTCCCCCATGTTGTCCCAGTATAGTCACTAAAATATGTGAGCTCATGCTATATGTTAGCACAAATGCCAACATACAGAAACAGGAATAGAGCCTCTTTAAATTCTGTGTTTTAGATTTATTCATTTTTATGTGTATGAATGTATATACACATGTGCATGTATCATGTACATGCCTGGTGCTTGTGGAGATCAGAAGAGGATATCAGATCCTTAGAACTGGAGTTATGAATGGTTGTGAGCCTCCATATGGGTGCTAGGAACTGAACCCAGACGGATATACAGAGTAAGCTCCAAGTAACAGCCAAGGCTACATAGTGAGGCCCTGTCTCAAAATTAAATATAAATAAATAAATAAATAGGAAAAGGAGGGGAGAAGGAAGAGGAGAGAGGGAGAGAGGTGGGAGGGAGACTAACTAGCTAGCAAAGCAAAAACTATGGAGCAAGTCAGTAATTAGCGTTCCCCACTGCCAGTTCCTGCCTCCAAGTTCTTGCCCTGATTCCTCTCAATGACGGACTATGACCTGGAATTGTAGGACAAACAAACTCTTTCCTTCCAAGTTGCTTTTGGTTATAGCATGTATCCCAACAAAAGAAAACAAATTGCAAATACTATGCTGCTGTATATAAATGATGTGAAAATCCATGGATTTTGGTTTCCACAGGGAGCATGGAGCCAATTTCCCAAGAATACCAAGGGACGGGTCTGTTCTTGTATAGAGGTCAACCACCTATGAAAAGGCACCGCTCTCACTTATTCTTTTCTCAAAACGACACTACAGCCCCACTGATAGGAAGTGTGATGCCAGTGACAGGAGGCCTCCTATGTGTGTGAAGACAGATGGCACATCACAGAGACAGAAGTGAGCAGGCTACTGCTAGCCCTTCTCACAGTCTTCCAGAAGAGGCTATCGCCCTCCAACTCCTGGGAGGACAAATGCAGCCAACTCCTGTGGCTTGATGGTATCCGCCATTATAAAATATGATGATGAAGTTTGGAACATAGCATGTCTCAGCCATCCATAACTCCAGTTCCAGAATACGTATGAGAGTTAGCCCTCCATCACTGTGCCAAATGCCTGAGAGAATTGCCATATAAGAATGAAGGGCTTTCTGTGAGTCACAGTTTCAGAGAGTTCAGTTTATGAGCTCTGGGCTTTGTTGATTTTTGAGTTAAACATTATGGTGGGAGGAAACATACTGTGGAGCAAATTACATCCTGTCATGCAGGCTGGGAAGGGTGAGATGGACAAAGAAGAGAGGAGAGGATCCCTTTGAAGGTCACCTTCAAAGGCATGCTCTTAATCACTTAAATTCCTTCCACTAGCAACAATCCTTGCCCCATATATCAATGGCTGGGGCCTAGTTTTTCAACACATGGGTCTTTGTGGGACATTTAAAATACAAACTATAGCAATATGCTACTTTAGAAGAAGGATTATTTTGAACTGAAGTAAAATTTTAAAATAATAAGCAATATTTAGGACAGGTGGTATACTTGCCTGGCATGTATGAGGAAGGCTCCATCTTTGTTCCTGTCACCACCCAAAAAAGGGAGGGCACTCGTCTTCCTTCTTTAAAAACACTTTGTCTTAAGTTATTTCTTTTGCTGTGACAAAGCACTGTGAATGTTTCACACAGGCCACCCACAGGCTTGTATGTTCAGATACTTGGTCCCTAGTTGGTAGGACTGTTTGGGAAGGACCAGGAGGTGTGGTCTTGGTGGAGGATAAATGCCACTGATGGTGGGCTTGAGGTTTCTAAAGCACACACCATTCCTGGTTCCCTCTCTTCTTTGTGTCTGTGGACCAAGATGTACACTCCTAGCTACTGCTCCAGCACCATGCCTTCCTCCCTATTGCAATGCTCCCTGCCATGATGGTCATGGACTCATCTAAAGGTGGAAACTTCTATAAGTTGCCTTGGTCATGCTGTCTTAGCACAGTAAGAGAACAGTAACTAAGGCACCCTATATGCTATATGTCCTCTACACTAGAAAATATTAACAGTCTTACCAGTGAGGGTGGCAATCTGAAGCACAGAGAAATCGATATAAATAAACTTGTTAAGCTAACCTTTGTGATCCTCATTGCTTCTCCACAGAACTAGCCCTCCCACCCCTCAGCCTCGACACACTTTCAGAGATTCTGCTCTTTCTCTAAGTCAGTGTATATGTAAACCTTGCTTCTTTCACTCTTACGTGTGATCCTGCACCATGTAAAACTTATTTTAGTAAATACATGTGTAATTTACATCTCCCATTTCTCTGGATTCTATTTAATTATTAGGCTCATATAAAAACCATAAGATAGCAATAGTAAAAATGTGCCTTCCGGACAACCATTTATCAGGCACTGAGTTAAATGTGTTAGACACATGCCCCCTTATTTTTCCCACCAGTCCTTGGAGGTGGGGAATCATTGTCTCTGTTTCATAAATAAGTAAACAAAGAGGCATAGGTGTTAAGAGATTGTCCCAGGTTCACATAGCTCTTCAAGGAAGGACTTGGATGCAAGACCACATGTGCCTCAACCTCTGAACTTGGCCTGCAGTAATTCTGCATTCATGCCTCTGTGAAGGTGACATCTTCTAAAGGAAGACACAGTTGTACTACACACAGAATATTTATGTGTTGTTACCCTGAAATAACAGGTTGAAATCTAAATTCCCTGTGTAAGGCTACTAGGAGAGGAAATTCCAAGACCAAGTGTGGTCATCGGTGTAGAGCCATTGTACTCTGCCATGTACCACCAAAGACATAGCCCCATGCCACCTAAGAGAGGGTCCTCACTAGAACCTGACCACAATGGCACTCTGTTCCTGGATGTCCAGCCTTCCAGTCAGTGAACAATTCTTTCCGACTGTTTGTGTATCTCCAGTCTTTGGCACATGCTATGGAAGCCCTAACTGATGGTATGGTTAACACAGAGAAGGATATGTGGGAGAAGGAAGGTTGGTGCCTTCAGACTGAAGGTTATTTTTCCCCTGAATGATCTTCATTTAACCTTCATTTTACAACATTTAAGTCAGATGCTTGCCTGATGTATAAAATCATAAAATGATATATACTAATGCTGAACTGCCAGTAGCTTTAATGTGTTCACATTGCTGATATGATTAGTCCTCCTGCCTTCACCTCTTCAGTGCTAGGCACACAAGCGTGCACCACCATGCCCATTTCGCGTGCGTGTGCGTGTGTGTTGTGTGATATGCCTGCATATGGAGATGTTGTGTGACACTATTCCTGGGGGAATAAGAACACACAACTATTCACCCCACATAGTGAGTCAAGGACAAGCCAAATTAATAACCTCACAAAGACAACCGTGGTGAAGCCTAGAGTTTAGTGGGATAGTTACATGAGAATGGGATGAGGGGTTACATACAGAAGCACAAAGGCAGCTGTATTAGCAGAAAGCCTATGCAAGCAGGAATGCTACTCCAGCTGCAACCCTGAAGCATGACTTACAGGCCGACCAACAGGTGATATGTGACAGTCTCCACCAACAGTTGTCGACTACTTCTATAACCTTGAGGAGGGGCCTTGTTGAGTCTTGTCACGCATGGTTTCAGCTTCCTGGACAGGTTGAAGTTCATTTACTTCCTGAGTCTCATGAACTTCCCATCTCCTTCCTTAGAGCAATGTTTCAATATTGGAGGAAACAGCTGTACAAAAGGAGGGCAGAACCTCACATGTTCCTCAGCCACCATCCACATTAATTGTTGACACAGGGCCTGTCACCAGCCCAGGATTCACCAGGACTTGACTAGGCTCACTGGAACTCACCTGATGCAGCATCACTAGTGCTAGATGTCCAAGTCTGTCTCTGTTTCAGCATCACTGGTGCTGGACATCCAAGCCTGTCTTACTATGAATAGTCTTGTCACAAGAGATCCTCACAGCTGCAGCCAAACACTTTACTGGTAGAGAAACCTCCTCAGCTTTATTCCATGTCTGGTTTTATCTAGAGATCAAACTGAAGGCTTCACAGATGCTAGACAAATACTGCAAACTGAGCTATATCCCAGCCCCAGGTTCACCCCATTCTGGCTTCCTATTTACTTATAATATTCATCAGCTCTGGGCATAGAACTTTTCATCACATGACAACTGTGACCAGGGCAACAATAAAGCTGGGAGTGCAGAAGGATTTCAGAATGAGACTGCTGGACTACAAGGTACTTCAAGTTATCATTGTTCACAGGACATGGAGAAGGAAGGCTCGCTTGAGAAAGCAGACAAAAGACTGAACATCAGGAGAATGTTGGATAGTCTGAGAGATTTAATCATGTGGCTTGTCAAAAGAAACCTAGGCTGGAGGGTGCAGCCCATACATACCATGGAAGATGGCTCCTGCACTTGTGCTTTCCCATTCTGGACCCTAAGGCCACCATCTCCTGGGCCTCAGCTCCCTAGTCAGCTAGGCTGACCTTTTGGGCTAACCTTATGGCTTTCCAAACACAGACTTGGCACTTGGCTGTTGTGAGTCATATTCCTGAGCCCTCATTTCTTTGTCCACAAGCTAGGAAAGATCATGGAAGGTGTCTAGCAGTCTGCCAGTGCAGGATGAAGGTTCCCAAGGAAAGTTCTTTCCCTCTCTGCTCTCACACTAAGGGCAGCAGCTTCTTAGGGTGAGGGAATGGTGAACACATTAGGCCAGAGGCTTAATAGATGAAACCTCAAACCAATAGAAATAGTAGTTTCCTGCTCCACCCACTGTAAATACTGTGTTTTTGGAACAAAGTCTTTCCAAGAAGATCCTTGTGTGGCCATTCTTACCTGTATAAATAGAAGCCAGCACTCACTCTTCCTGAGGCTTCGCTGGAGGTTCCTACCTGCAAGGAGGCCTGCTTCTCACAATGGTGGGTGACTGACTTCATACATAGGACTTCTGTCTTTAGTTGAAAATGGGTCTTTTTTTTTTTTTTGGTTTTTTGAGACAGGGTTTCTCTGTGTAGCTTTGGAGCCTATCCTGGCACTTGCTCTGGAGACCAGGCTGGCATCGAACTCACAGAGATATGCCTGCCACTGCCTCCCAAGAGCTGGGATTAAAGGCCTGCACCACCTAGCTGAAAATGGGTCTTTTCTTAGCGTCTTTTCTAAGAGCCAGAATCAGGGAATAAATGGGGATCCCCACAGGAGGACAAGAGGAAGGAAGCAGAGCTGGTAAGAAGGGCCACATGAGGGTACAGAGGGCCTCAGGAAGGGTGACTTCACCTCATGACAAATTTACTCTATGAAACCCTCCTCAGACAGAGCTGGAGGGGTAGAAGACAGTGGTGGTGTCCTCCCTGTCTGCACTCAGACCCCTCCTCCCACCACTCCCACGAGGCCTGGGAGTGAACTCAGGTGCCTGCAGAGCTAGCACTACCCTCCCCTCACTAAGAGTCTGAAGACCCTGACCCTTGTTTAAGGAAAGCAGGGCCCTCCTTTCCAGGGACAGATACTTAACAAAGGGGACACAATTCAGGGGACACTGCCAGTCTGCTTCATCCAAGCTGGTCACAAAGTCAAACTGGCCAGCAAAAGCCAGTTTCCTTCACTCTCCTGTGCCACGTGCATCAGGGCTACTGTCTGCAGCAAGGGAGGAGAACAGAACAGAAAGCAGGGAGAGGGGACTTGGGTAGTCTTCAGCCTAGGATCTCAGCATCACCTGGGAGCATTGATCCTGAGCCTGGAGACCCACTGAAGCAGAATCTTCAAGCATGATCTTCATCCCGGGCTCCCTTAGTTTATATGCTCATGAAAGCAGCAGTGAGCAGACTGCGTGGGTCCCTTCCTGTGGGCTCCCATGGGAGAGCATAAGACCCAGCAGTCCTGTCTGCTGCCAGTGAACTTGAGATTGTCTACTACTCATTAGCTAAATAAGGAAGAACCACTGCTTTTACAAAGAGAGAGTGGGGTTAAAAGAGGAAGGGAAGAAGAGAGAGGGAGGAGAAGGGGTGGAGGATAGGGAGGGAATGAGGGAATAGAGAGAGAAGGAGAAGGATGGAGGGAGGAAGGGAAAGAGAAAAAAGAGGGAGGGGAGAGGGAGGGAGAGGAGGGGAGGAAGGAAAGGGAGAGAAAGAAGGAGGGAAGGAAAGAAGAAGAAGAAGAAGAAGAAGAAGAAGAAGAAGAAGAAGAAGAAGAAGAAGAAGGAAGAGAGAACACTTGTGCCATTGGCAGACAGACAATTTAAAAAAGCGTCATTTGCTTTACCCTGTTATCATACTTGGCCTCCATCCCACAGTGGCTCAGCCTATGTGTCTGCCTAGAAATGGGTTGTCCAGCACAGCTCACAGTCTTTGGGATTCTCTTGTTCTGGACTCAGTAAAACGAGACTCTAAAAGTCCATGATCACTGCAGCATAGTGGTTTTCTTTCCACCTAAGGGCACAGAAATCCTATCAGTTGGCTGGGTTGGATATCAAATACAGAGGTTTTGAGGTGAAGATTATGGAAGAAAAGAAATGAAACATGAAAAACAAATGAATTTTAAGTCTTGGTGTATGTGAAATATATTGTCGGTTTTATACAGTCTTTTGATATTTATCTTTTCTCTTTTCTTTCTTCTGCATTTTTTTGAGGCGGTATCTCTCTATGTAGTCCTGTAACCCTGTAGTCATTATGTAGACAGACCATCAGGCCCTCGAGCTCAGAGATCCTCCTGTCACTGCCCCCCAAGGCTGGGATGAAGTAAGTGAACCACCACACCAGGCTCTTTTCTTTTTCCTTTTTATTCCTTCTTTCTTTTGGAAGGACTCATGTATTTATTATAGTTTTTATAATTTTAAGTTGGATGGATGTCACTGTAGAAGAAAGGAGGAGGCTCAAAAAGAAAGGTTTTACAATCACTTGTCACAAAATGCCTTCTTAGCCAGCTCAAGCCTGTTATCCCAGCACTTAAGAGGTGGGGGCAAGAGGATTGCCCTGAGTTCAAAGCTAGCCTGGGCTACACTGTGAGTTCCAGGTCACACTCTGTGTCACAGTAATCTCGGCACCCAGGCTGTTGTGCAGCCTACAGAATTGCACTTCGCAGTGCATAGTGGGTCCCTTGCCCCTGCTTTCTCTTCCCACTTTGCTAGTTCATCATTTTTTGTTGTTGTTGTTTTGTTTTATTTATTTATTTTTTTTTTGGTTTTTTGAGACAGGGTTTCTCTGTGTAGCTTTGGAGCCTATCCTGGCACTCGCTGTGGAGACCAGGCTGGCCTTGAACTCACAGAGATCTGCCTGCCTCTACCTCCCGAGTGCTGGGATTAAAGGCGTGCAACAGCAATGCCCGGCTTAGTTCATTAGTTTTTATTTTGAGTTTTGTTGTTATTGTTTTTCTTGTGAGCCTCTGTGTTCTCAGTCACCTGTTTGCTTGGGTGTTGCATGGTCTTCCATTTTCATACTACAGTGAGCTGAGCTGCCCTTTCAGGTCTGCCTTCACCTCTGGGCTGTTGTCAGGGTCATGTTAGAAGTGAAATTCGAGTGGCCTTAAGTTACACTTGTCCATTGCTCCAGAGACACTGCTGCCATGGGAACACCCCTTGTGCTCATCACTTCCCCCTATGGGCCTGTTTCCCTCTGCAGATTCTAAAGGGCCTGGTCATTCTCTCTTCCTTCTGTCTCCATTCATATTTCTTTTGCTTTGGGTAAGTTGAATTCCCTGGGTGTTTATTGATCCTTTCTCTGTCTTCATGTGTGTGATGTTTCTTTATTGCTGTCTGTCTGTCTGTCTGTCTGTCTGTCTGTCTCTCTCTCTCTCTCTCTCTCTCTCTCTCTCTCTCTCTCTCTGTCACACACACACACACACACACACACACACACATACACAGAGATGTCTCCTTATTGCTCTGTCTTTGTGTGTGTGTGTGTATGTGTGTGATGACTCTTAATTGCCCTTGCTACTTTTATACTATGAATATATGTTTTTCACTGTTATAGTGAAATTATTTCATATACTATTTTCCAAATTGGTAACAATTTAGCTTCATTTATTTAGTCATATAGACACTAAAATCTCTTATTTATAAAATGATATAATTTCTATATTCTGTACTTACTTTATGATCTTATTTTAAAAATTAATTTTAGGTCCTTTAAGGAAACATTAATACAGAATTGTCTTCCCCATCAAAGTCTGAGCCACCATTCTCCTGAGACTATTTGAGAACCGTAGGAATAGGAAGAACTGGGGCAGAGGGCACATAGGAGAAATATGGAGGTGGAGAAGGCCCTTCTCATGTCAAAGGGCACAAGGACAATGAGCACCTGGCACAAGAGCCCCCAGGCCTCTGAGAACAAACTAGGACAGGGGAAGAGCTGCTGCTACAGGAAGCCCCACTACAGCCTATGATGTGGCTCCCAACATAATCCTTCCTATTCCCAGCCCCACAGCCAGCCACTCCCACAGTGAACTCTGCTTTTTTTGTTGGTTTGTTTTGTTTATTTCAAGATAGGGTTTCTAACTGTAGTCATTCCTGGCTATCCTGGGACTCACTCTGTAGACCAGGCTGGCCTCTATCCTGAGTGCTGGAATTGAAGGCATGTGCCACCACACCCAGCAGGTTTTTCTTTTTAGGCCACCCCTTTACATCTTAGTCCCTGACTGCCAGGCTGGGGTACCTGGCAGTTGCTCTACACTGTGCCCTTCCTGCTAGAGTTCAGCAGGGATCTTTATAGGACACTCAATAAGGGATGGCCCTCAAGAATCACTCACTCTCCACTCCCAACCTTTCCCTGCATCACAGAAAGCTCTGCTGGGCAGCCTCCTGTTCCTTGCCACCTTGGTGACGACATGCAATGCAGTGTGCTCTCTTGAATTACGAGAGGGACATCCAAACCAACCTCCTGGTGGTAAGTCCTGGGTTTTCCTGTATTTTTAATGTCATTGTAGCCTGATAACTACAACCTATAGACATGACCTAGTACATATGACAGATGGGGAAGCTAGAAACTACCCTGGAAGAAGGATTCAGGTGGATACAGAAACAGAGTGAGAAGGTGGCTCTCAGTGCTAGCTAGATGAGCTTTGAAACACACCATGATTAAGCCCCATTTAAGAACAGCTGAATAAGAACCTCTGGTGCTGGAGTTGCACATTAAAAGCTCTTTGATTTTTCACCTGCAGTCAGGGTTAAGAAGCAGCATTCAAATTTTTTATATAAATTTTTATTTAAATTAGAAACAATCTTGTTTTACATGTCAATCCCAGTACAGTTTGGAGCAGGGCCTAGGCCCTCCCCGCAACCCCCTTCCCCATGTGTCTAGGCTGAGAGAGTATCCTTCTATGTGGAATGGGTTGCCAAAGTCCATTTGTACACTAGGGATAAATATTGATCTACTACCAGAGGCCCCATAGATTGCCCAGGCCTCCTAACTGACAAACATGTTCAGGGGGTCTGGGTTGGTCCTATGCTGGTTTCCAAGCTATCAGTCTGGGGGCCAAGAGCTCCCCCTTGTTCAGGTCAGCTGTTTCTGTGGGTTTCTCCAGCCTGGTCTTGACACCTTTGCTCCTCACTCCTCCTCTCTGCAACTGGATTCCAAGAGTTCAGCTCAGTTTTTAGCTGTAGGTGTCTGCTTCTGCTGCCATCAGCTACTAGATGAAGGCTCTAGGATGGCATATAAGGTAGTCATCAATCTCATTATTGGGGAAGGGGATTTAAGGTAGCCTCTCCACTATTGCTTGGATTGTTAGTTGGGGTCATCCTTGCAGATCTCTGGACATTTCTTTAGTGCCAGATTTCTCTTTAGAACTACAATGACTCCTTCAATCGTGGTACCCCTTTTCTTGCTCTACTGTATTTTTCCCCACTCAATCTTTCTGCTCCCTCATGTCCTCCTCTCCCCTCCTCTTCTCCCCTTCTCTTTATCTTAATTCCCTCTCCCCTCCCCCATGCTCCCAATTAGCTCGGGAGATCTTGTCTCTTTCCCCTTCTCCTGGGTACCATGCATGTCTCTCTTAGGGTTCTCCTTGCTTCCTAGCTTCTCTGGTGGTGTGGATTGCAGGCTATTAATCCTTTGCTTTATGTCTAATATCCATATATGAGTTAATATATACCATTTTTGTCCTTTTGTGACTAGGTTACCTCACTCAGGCTGGTTTCTTCTAGTTCCATCCATTTGCCTGTGAATTTCAAGATTCCATTGTTTTCTCCCCTGAGTAGTACTCCATCGTGTAAATGAACCACATTTTCTTTATCCATTCCTCAGTTGAGGGGCGTCTAGGTTGCTTCCAGGTTCTGGCTATTACAAATAATGCTGCTATGAATATAGTTGAACATAATGTCCTTATTGTATGAGTGTGCATTCTTTGGGTATATGCCTAAGAGTGGAATGCAGCATTCAAATTTTAATGTACATGATCATCTTGGCAATCTTCTTTAAATGCAGTGTGTGTGTGTGTGTGTGTGTGTGTGTGTGTGTGTGTGTGCACATGTGTTGTGCTGTGTGTATAGAGTGTGGGGGGGTGTTTGTAGGCTGTGGGGTGTGTGGGGGTATAGGGTTTCTGTATGGGGCATGTGTGTGTTGTTTGTGTAGAGTGTGTGGTATGTATGTGCATGTTATGTGTGTAGGGTGTGTGTGTGTGTGTGTGTAGAGTGTGTGTATATGTGAGTGTGTGGTGTGAATGTTGCTGGAGATTCTCAGACATACCAAGCAAGCACTTTAATACTGTATTAGTTTCATCCTGCTGCTGTGATAAAACTTCAAAAATAAATTGATGAAATTTCAAAAGAAGTTTAGGGGAAGGAAGGATTTATTTGCTGTTCACTTCTAGACCACAGTCCATTGTTGAGAGAAGGCAGGTGAAAAAAAAAAAAAACTCAAGCAAGAACTTAAAGTATTCCTTGGATGATAGTAGGCTGTGTCAAGTTGACAAACTTATATAAAACTATTTATGATGGGGCTGGAGAGATGGCTCAGGGGTTAAGAGCACTGGCTCCTCTGCTAAAGGATCCTAATTTAATTCTCAGCACACACACAGCAGCTCACAACTGTCTGTAACTCCACTTCTACTGGATCCAACACTCTTACACAGATATACATGCAAACAAAACACCAAGACACATTAAATTTTTAAAAAGTTTAAAAAAATAATACATTAAAAAACACAGATAACTAAATATGATAACCTCTAAGCCATATCTCTCATCCCAAGACAGGTTTGATTTCACTGGATCTAACAGCAGGTATGAAAATCTGGTGTTCAGTGCAGCTCCAGCCGGTACTGATGCTGTTGTCTTTCAAGCACACTTGGATCACTTGGATCTGAGGCTGATTCTCACCCTGGCTGAACATTTTTAAAAATAAGGCAGAGGGATGGGGATTCAGTTCTCTTGGCAGAGTGCTTGCCTAGTATGATGGGGTTCTGGGTTCAATTCCAGCACTACATAAAGCAGGTGTGATGGCATATTCTTGTGATCCTTGTACTTGAGGCAGAAACAGAAGGATTGAGTCCAGTGCAGGGCCTAGAGAGAGGGATTAGTGGTTAAGAGCACTGGCTGCTGTTAGAGAGGACCCAAGTTCAGATCCCAGCACCCACATGGCAGTTTACAACTGTTGGTAATTCCAGTTCCGGAGCACCTAGTGCCCTTCTCTGGTATCTGAAGATATGATGCAGTAGCCTTACATACATGCAGGAGAAACAGTCATATACATGAAATAAAAATAAATCTTAAAAAAAGTTCAATACAATCCTTGGGTACATAGGAAGTTCAATACCAGCCTGAAATACATGATGCACCCCCCCCTCAAAAAAAAGCAAAACGAAACCCGAAGTAAACAAGGCCATCTGGGCTCCACCCACAGATTATAGTTCTGTTGTTTTTTGGTCAGGTTCAGGCACGTAGGGTTTGTTCCTTTATTTTGGTGCTGGAGACTAAACCCAGGGACCTGTGCATTCTCCATACTTGTTCTACCATGAGTCACACCCCAGTCTGTGGGTGAGTTTTAAGTACCCACAATGCTTCACATGTGCACCCAGCCTTGAAAATCACTGATACAAAACAATACTAGCAGAGAAGTGAGTGGTTTGTTCAGGACAACCAGAGAGAACTAGCTGAGCCCCTGTTGGCAGCCACTCCTAACAGCTACCTGACTAAAAAGGAAGGGCTTATATGTTCTTCAATACCCGTTCTGAAATAAAATCTAGAAGGATTTAAGCTTGCTTAAGAAACATTATCGGAACGCTCAGTCCTTTAATCTCAGCAGAAGCAGTTGAATCTGTATGAGTTGGAGGACAACCTGGTCCACACATTAATTTCCAGACTAGCCAAGGCAGCATAGCAATAGACAACTAAAAAGTCAAAGAAACAAACAAAAACGACAAACAAACAAAAAAGCCCAACCAAACAAAAATAAAGACATTCTCAGAGGCAGGTGCTGCAGTGTGCTGGATTCTAGCCATCTTGATGACCAAAGCATTCTCTGACACCTTGCAGTCATGAGCCAGTGGCTTGCCATGTGTTCTGTTATGTGATCTGTGGATTTGCTTCGTTTTAGATTGCGTGGATTCTGATGGTGACAAACATCCCATCAACTCTTACTGGGTGAAGGACTGTAAGAGGTGTTTCTGTGGAGAAGATACAATTTCCTGCTGCACCCAGTACAAAGTCTCCTTCAGTTTCCCTGCTGTCAAATTCTAGGGCTCAAGAGATCCTGCTCCCTCAGTCTCCTGTGTAAGCTGAGGGTGATGTGTGCACGATGTGAGAAGCATAGACAAACATGTTTGCGCCTATCCACAAGGCCAGAATTTATTCAATAACAGCAAATACATAAGCTACGCTGATTTCTTTTTAACAAAAAAAATTACATCTATTTACGTGGTGTGTGTGTGTGTGTGTGTGTTTGGTTTAAGGGCTACAGTTTGCCAAGCAGTTACGATTTCCCATGATAGCTAGTCACTGGCAAACATATTTTTCTTTATTACAAATTTAATTACTACCATTAGCTCTCAGATCATACTTTACACATCACATAGTAAATCTATGTTATGTATGTGTGTATGTATGCATGCAGATTACAAAATGTCTATAAAAAACTGACGGAGAGTACAGCGGAGTTGGAAGAATTGAAAATGGGTTGGGGGCAGGCAGAGATGTGATGGACCTGGCGTGAAACCTCAGGTCAAGTTGAGCTGCCCGGTTGTGGAGCTGGACCACTGAAGCCATACAGAGGGGTCTAGATGGACCCACAGGTCAACGAGCCGTCAGCTGCTTTAGCAGCAGGGACTGAGACAAACTGAAGCCCCCAGGGAGTCAGGAGTTCTCTTTCAGCCCTCCCCCTGTTAGAAAACATTATTAGTGTATACATGTGTATGTGATATAGAGGGAGTGGTGCGCGTGGAGGTCAGAGGACAACTTCCTGGAGTCAGTTCTGTCTTTCCACAGTTTTGTGGGCCCCTGGTATAGAAGCCTTTTAAGTTGTTCAGCAGTGCGTATTGTGGGTGGTGCTGGGTGAATGGTGCTTTTTACATGCAGGACAAGTGCAAAGTCACCCTGTCTCCTCCTCTGAACACAAACTAAATGAAATGCAGCTTGTAAAATGGATTCCTCCACAGCAAGGCATGGCCTGAAACCCACTGTTTCATAACATGGAGTAACTTAGTGCAGGGCAGAGCTTGGTCTTAAAACTGAGACTATAGCAGTGCACTATGCCGATGGTTTTGTTGTTTGGGTTTCGTTGAGTAACCCTGGCTGGCCTCAAACTTATTCTGTCCTGAGGGGACCTTAACTCCTCATCTTCCATCTCCACATGTAGTTTCATGCTATTCTAGGGATTGAACTCAGGGCTTCCTGCATGCTAGGCAAGTGTTCTACCAACTGAACTAAAGCTCTGCATATTTTTACATTTAGTGTGTAGGGGTGGGGTGGGGTGGATTGAGTGTGTGTGGAAGTCAGAGGGCAATTTCAGGTGTCAGTTTCTCCTTCCATCTTAGTTTGTTCCAGCAATTGAACTCAGGGTGTCAGGTTTGTGTAGCAAATGCTTTTACCTACTGAGCTAGCTAACTTGATAATTTGTTTTTATTGTTGTTTGTAGAGAACCATTACCTACTTGGCTCCTTCCTTCCTTCCTTCCTTCCTTCCTTCCTTCCTTCCTTCCTTCCTCCCTCCCTCCCTCCCTTCCTGACTCCCTTTCTCTCTTTTTAAATTAATTTTTTTTGTCTATTTGTATGTGTGTGTGTGAGGGTGTTGGATCCTGGAGTTACAGATAGTTGTGAGCTGCTATGTGGGTGCTGGGAATTGAACTCAGGACCTCTGGAAGAGCAACCAATGCTCAGCATTGAACCCAGGGCTTCACACTTGCTAAGCAAGCATTCTACCACTGAGTCATATCTCCAATCCAAAGAGCGATTTTAGATTCACAGGAAAATTGAGCATAGGTCCAGAGGTTTCCATATGCTCTCTCTGCCCCCACATGCACAGCCCTCTCCATTATCAATATCCCCCACAAGGATGCACTTAGAATTTACCTTTTAAAGCATCCATTACAATTACACTAAATATATTTACAGTGTTGTATAACCTTTACCATCTCTACTGACTTTTCATCTTGTAGTCCCAGTTACCTGGGAGGCTGAGACAGGAGTGCCACTTGAGCTCAGGAATTTTTTTCCCGTTTTTCTTTATTTTTTTTTTAGATTTTTATTATTTTATTTTCTTGTTTTTTTTTTCTTACAAACCCTTGTGTTGAGGGCTGACTTTCAATAGAACTCAGGAATTTGATGTTTTGTCTTGATAGTATCTCAATGAGTAGTTCTAGCTGGACTAGAACTTGCTGTGCAGACCTGGATGTCCTTGAAATCAGAGATCTGCCTGCCTCTGCTTCCCAGGTGCTGGTATTAAAGGTGTGTACCACCCGGCTTTGAGCTCAGGAATTTTAAGTCAGCTTGGGCAACATAGTGAGACCTCCATCTTTAAAACAAAAAAAATGACAGGAGCTAACAGTATATGATGTACTCCTTTGATCGCAGCACGTGGGAGGCAGAGGCAGGCAAGCAGATGTCTATGAATTCTCAACCAGCCGGGCCTATATAGAGAGTTGCAGGACAGTCAGGGTTACATAGACTGTCTCAGAGAGAGAGAGAGAGAGAGAGAGAGAGAGAGAGAGAGAGAGAGAGAGAGGGAGAGAGAGAAAGATTAGCAATCTTAAACTTTGTATTCATCATCACTCACTCCTCAGTGCCTTCTTTCTGACAGTCTCTGGAAAGCAGCATTCACTCGTTGTCTCTTATGAACATGACTGCTGTAAAACTTTGTGCAAATAGGATCATATATTATTTCTCCTCTGAAGATCATTTTCCTTCACGTAGCATAGTTTCCTTAAAGTTTATAGTGCTGTCATAGGTGTTAGTATTTCCTCCCCTTCCAGGCTCATAAAATTTCACTCTGGGTCTATAACACCTATACTCACCCACCCATTAACGGGCAGTCATTTGCCGGTTTCATTTTTGTTTTCAAGTATTTTTAAAGCTTGACTATCATCTTTACTCTTAAGCACCCATACCCACACAGGTTCCTAAAGACAAGCAAGTTTATCTAGTGATCTACTCTCGAAGCTGGTCTGATGGTCACTGCAGTCTTACAACATGTGTGCAAGAGCAGGTGCGGTATGAGTGAGGCAGGGAGAGGTGTGGTGTGAAGACGACCTTTTCTGTGCCTGTGTGGGAACCCTGTGCTGCTTTGCTGTGGAGGTCAAGCCCAGGGCAGGCCAGAGGTTGTGCAGATGGTTTCCCCTGAGATGTTGTGGATGCTGAAGGTCCAGTGTTTGAACAAAGAGACCACAATGCACCTACAGCTATGGCCACACCAACCACTCCACTCCCAGCTTTCCAAATGCATCTGAACACAACCCCGTTTGTCTTTTTCTATCATCAGAGTCTTGCATGGACAGGAATGGTTCTCTTTTTGGTTTAGCAGTGCTGGGATTGAACCCAGCATCTCACGCATGTTAAGCCAGCACTCTACCACTGAGCTATGTGCCAACTCAACAGAGGCATCGCGTAAAGTAGCATTTTCCAAACTTGTCTCTGAATCTGAACTTTACCAAGAGCTTTGGAGAGTCATACAACTTTAACCAGAGTGCTTGAGTCCTACCCAAGTTAGGCTTCTCAAAAATTCTGTCTGCATGTATTAAGCATGCCTCATGGTAAATTGATCAAGATAAATGTCCAGCTGAGAGGTAGGCTGGCTGACTGCTCCAGCAGACTCCTGAGTATTGAATTGGCTGTTTACCACAAGTCACAGCTGAATCTTGATTTTTATTTATTTACTTTTTGTGGCCTCAGATATCTAACCATGTCTTTATAGAAAGTGTCACTGTGACTCTGGAGTGAGGCTGAAGCCCTACAGGCTAAGGACTGGTGAACCATTCCTCCCTAAAATGGGAAAAAATCTCTATAGTGACTAAGTGTCCCCAGATCATCAGTGCTGTCATCACAGAATTTTAACAGCATCCTCTTCTATGGTTACCAATGGAGCCAGAACTGAAGAGTGAGGTTGATCCTGTAGTGAAGTGAGAGGTACCTGATGCTGGAGTCAGCGTAGCTTGAGTCTGACTCTCATTCCCTCTTATATTAGCTGTGTATGTCAGAGTAAGGCTTTGAGTCTCTTTGCTCAGTTCCAAGTGGTTATGAGAATTAAATGAGATTCTGTACATAAATTCAACAACTCAATAAACATTTATCTTCTCTTGCTTAGTCTATATCTCTTGAGTCTGGCAGTGGCTGGCACTTGGTGAAGGTTCAAGGTGCCCTTTTCTTTTGTCCTGCCTGTCCCATTTGGTACTGCTCCACCAGGGGAAAATGGTTTTTTTTTTGCCAATGCTGTTCAAAACTAGCTCCTCCTCCTCCCCTGGGATCACCTAGACTACAGTCCAAGCTGGGTCTGCTAGTCTTATAAACTTGGTTTTTCTATAGAAAATACAGATTTGGGTTAAGCTTTCTGTGCGGGGAAAATGTCTTGACCTTTTCCACCCACTATGGATGTTTCCCAGATCTGTGGGCGTTCAAGGGCTGAAGACCCAGACAGAGGTATCGAGGGGCAGAGGGCATGGAAGATGTTCATGTCTTTGCTGTTCTTTCCAGGCCCAGGTTCTTGGAGTCAGATGTTTGGGAAGCAATGGACTAAGGTCATCAAGACTCCAGTTTCGGATTTCTGATCTCCTGATATCTATAGTTTTCTTCTCCATCTCTTGTCACAATTTCTTCTACAATATTAAGTCAGGCTTGCATCACACTTTGTAGACCAGGCTGGCCTCAAACTCAGATATCTGCCTGCCTCTGCCTCCAGAGTACTGGGATTAAAGTTGTGCACCACCATGCCCAGATCCCAAGGATACATTTTTAATGAATTCATCCATCGTGTCTTTCAGTTTGTTTCATGAGATCCATTGAAAATGAAACTTTCTTAACTTCAAACTGTGTCTGTGCTCCTAGCTCACAACCAAAATATCTGGAGGGATCTTGCCAGTCAAAACAGGAACCTTGTAGCAATAGAGTCAGACATGCTGCAGTTGAGGATGACAGACATTTTGGCTTATTAATAGCTTTATTAATAAGATGAAGAAATCTTTGGTACATTTTGGTATATTCTATCTGGAGAAAATGAGATAGTGTATACAACTATTAGAGTTCTCAGTCTCTAACATGAAGTTTTCACCACTGAAACTGTAAACATATTGGTTGTTTACTGTGTTTCCCTAATACAGTTTCCAATGGCTGCAAAACTGCTTATTTTCATTAAACAAAGACATAAACCCACACGCCTAGCCCAGGAGTGGGAGGAAGAGATGCTGGAAAGCTAGGGGGTCCTGAGAAGTCCCCTTGGACAGGCTGTCTCCCCAGAGCAGTGGGAGGGGGCTGTCCGAGCAATGTCAGCATCCATACAAGCAGTGCAGAGCCTGGCAGGCTGGTGGGAACACAGATGTGGGCTTCTGTGGTCAGTGGGGTGGAAGAGCTCCCTGGGCGGGCATGGGCTGCCATCCTCATGGACTCACTTTTGGAACTGTAATAATTAACTTCTCTTTCTTTTTATACATTGCTTCTTTTACAACTAAATTCCAAACTTAGTTTGCAAATTCAATTACACTTAAGGTTTTTTTTGAGACACATCCCACTATATACTATATACTCAAGCTGCCCTTGATCTTGCAAATCTCCTATAAAGTGTTGGGTTAAAGGTGTATACCACCATTACTGGTTATGTTACAATTTGTGCTCTAATTTTTTAATTAATATTTCTGTATTAGTACCATCCATCTTATCAAACGTCTTCAAAATGTTACAGACTACAAGTAACCAGCAGTTAGTCTTAAGAAGGATCAAACCAGAATCTTACTGTCAAAGGCATAATTTCATGGGGGGTGGGCTCACACTCACACGGCAATGTTCCTATGTGTTTGGGCCATGATGGAGGTTTTAGTTGAGTGCCCAGTGCCCTGGTCAATTGTGAGAACATGTTCTGCCATCTTTTTCCTACATGGACCACCACTACAAATTCAGATGTCCTTTGACCAGAAAGTTGTGATTAATGAATGGCTTCAAACAACTTGAGGAAGAAGACTGGAATGTCTTTTTCCTTTAGGATAAAATTCTGGGTCTTTTTAATACTGAGACATAGTTACAGAAGGCACCAAAATGGCTGTTTTAATATACTCTGGGTAGGGCAGCTTACTTTATTCTTTGTTTTTTTTTTTAAGATTTATTTATTTATTTATTTATTTATTTATTATGTATACAATGGTCTATCTGCTCTTGACTGCAGGCTAGAAGAAGGAGCCAGAACTTCTGACAGATGGTTGTGAGCCAATATGTGGTTGCTGGGAATTGAACTCAGGCCCTCTGGAAGAACCAGTTAGTGCTGTTAACCGCTGAGCCATCTCTCCAGCCCCAATTCTTTGTTTTTTGTTTTTTTAGCTGGGTGGTGGTGGCACAAGACTTTAATCCCAATATTCAGGAGACAGAGGCAGGTGGATCTCTGAGTTCAAGGCCAGCTTAGTCTACAAAGCTGAATTCCAGGACAGCCAGTGCTGTTACACAGAGAAACCCTGTCTCAAACAAACAAACAACAACAAACAAAAACATAAAGGGAAAAAGAGATTTATTTTATTATTTACGTATATGTATGTGTGTGGATGTCTGTGTGGCTGTATATATACATACATGCAATTACCCACGAAGGCCAGAAAAAGATGTTGACTCCCCTGGAATTGGAGTTACTGGCATTTGTGGATCACAGAACATGGGTGCTGAGAACCGAATTCCCATCCTCTGAAACAGCACTAAGCACTTTTAACCCCTGAACACATTTCTCCAGCCTTTAGCTGAGACAAGTGCTCCTGTAACCTGCACTGGCCTCAAACTCACCATGTAGCTGAGACTGGTCTTAAACTTCTGATCTTCCTTCCTCTACCTCCAAGTGCTTTGTACCACCATGTCTGGCTCTGGCAGGACAATTTAAATCCCAAGCCTATAGTGGGCTTCAAAGGCAATGCCTCCTAAAATTGGCGTACCCCTACATGTTCCCCGGGTTTTCCCAGGAAGGTTTTCTTCCAGTGGCTTCTCCCTGGATCCCACCACCCTGGCCTGGGATGGCTCTCTGCTCCTGTTGGTGGGTGAGCTCCTCTCCTAAGCAGACACCACACGGGACTGGGCCCACCTTTCCCTTGGCACAGTACAGCACCATTGTTGTGGACCACTCCTTGAACTGGGAGAATGGGAAGGGCAAGGCTAGTACAAAGCTTTGCTATCCCAGAGTCACACAGACCTGCCCCTGAGCCTGTCAGAAGTTCCCAGCGTCAGGGATGGTCTCTGTGACTCCATGGTACAAGCAGATACAGATGCCCAGACTCTATACTTTGGGCCTTTCAGCCCAATGAAGCCCTGATTTTGGTAAGGGGAGTTCCAGGCAACTGGAACATGGGGTCCTCTTCTACAGAGCATGTTGAGCAGCAGGGCTGGGTGAATAAGTATCCCCCCCCCCCTTCTAACAGGACTTGTCTTGTCTCATTTACAGAACTGCTATACCCTCGAGATATGACAAAGAGAAGTGTCAGCAAAATTTCCACCCAGAGAACTGCACCTATACTGTGGTGGAAAAGAAGAACCCAGGAAAGCCCTGTCTTGTTGAAGACTGGGTATTGTAAATGTGTTTCTAGTGGACCAAAAAGTTGAGCAATATTTGAATATTTGTATGATTTAAATTTACCAATTATAGGCTGGGTGGTGGTGGTCTATAATCCCACACTTGGAGGCAGGGGCAAACAGATCTCATGCAAGCCTGGTCTATCGAGGGCTACACAGATAAACCCTGGGTTTTTTTTTTATTTTGTTTTTGTTTTGGGTTTTTTTTTTTATGTGTGTGTATGTATGATTTTTTTTTTTTTTTTGAGACAGGGTTCTCTGTATTAACAGTCCTGGCACTTACTTTGTAGACCAGGCTGGCCTCAAACTCACAGAGATCCTCCTGTCTCTGCCTCCCAAGTACTGGGATTAAACGAGGGCATCACCACTGCCTGGCAGAGAAACCCTGTCTTGGAAAATGCAAATAAATAAATAAATTTGCCAATTACGTTTCTATTAACTTAATGCATGTTATAAAGCAAACAAACATTTAAAGGAGACAAAAAGAAAACCAAACATGTTTAAAAAAAAATCAACCCAACAATACAAGTTACAAATTACAGTATTTTTCCTGCCTCAAATGGGTTTCACGAATGTGTGCTTTCCTCGGACCATGTCCATTTGCACCACTTCTGCTATTTCAGGCGCTTCTGCCTGTGTTGTTTCTGGTTTACAATGGAAAAAAGCATGTGTGTTCACGATGAAACCAGACTTCTTCTCTGTCCTTGGTACTCACATTTATCCTCCTTCCACTTACTCAGGCATGTCCTCTCAGCCATGTCTCCATATCCCTCTATGTTTGCATAAAGTTAGAACAGGTTAGAAACAGCCTGAGAAGATGTCTTGCAGACCTCATATAGGTTGACAGGGAACCAGACACCAGACTTCTGTGGGTGGTGGGGACCAGCTATAGGGTCAGTTATGTGTGGCATGCGCAGCCCATCTAAAATAGACTGACTAAAGTGTGACAGCATTGATTCTGATATTTATTTCCCAGTTCTTTGTAAAAAAAAACTGTAGCCTTTCCCCTAAGTTAAAATGCATCACCAACCATTTGTAAGTGTTAACTCACAAACATCAGATAAAAACATCAGATTGCTCTACAGCCATCGTCTGCATCTAACCTCAGAGCTCTCCATCAGCCTGTCTTAGGGTTTCTATTGCTGTGAAGAGACACCATGACCACAGCAACTCTTACAAAGAAAGCACTTAATTGGTGCTTGCTTACAGCTTCAGAGGTCTAGTCCATTATTGCCATGTTGGGGAGCATGGTGGCATGCAAACAGAAGCAGCTCAGAGTTCTACATCCAGATCCACTGGCAGCAGGAAGAAAGCGTTTGGCACTAGGTCTGCCTGGGGCTTCTGAAGCCTCAAAGCCCACCCCCAATGACATACTTCCTCCAACAGAGCCACACCTATCCCAACAAGGACACACCTCCTAATCTTTCTAAGTAGTGCGGTGCCCTGAACCCTAAGCATTCAAATATATGAGCCTATGAGGGTTACTCTTATTCAAACCTCCACAAGCCCCAAAGGAAAAAGATTTTATTTGTATGGATGTTTCCCCTGCAAATATACATTGTGTACCATATGAATGCCTGGTGCCCTTGGAGGTCAGAAGGCATTGGATCCCTGGAACAGGAGTTGTGCATGGTTGTGAGCCATTGCATAGTGCTGGGAACCAAAACTGGGCCCTCTACGAGAGCAGTAAGTGCTTTTAACCTCTGAGTTGTCTCTCCAGCCCCCTACCATAAGGAAACTTATTAAAGTTTAACTCTCCACCCCGTCTCATCTCCAGCCTGCTATGCATCTTTTCCTTTCCTTTCCTTTCCTTTCCTTTCCTTTCCTTTCCTTTCCTTTTTCTGTCTTTAAGGATTTAACTGCTGTTTAGCAAGGGTAGAGTTGGGTAGGAGAAATAGTAGCTAATATTCCACAGCACAGTAGGACAACTATACTGATAATAATCCTGTGGTTTCTCTGTTTCCCTCATCTCTCAAACTCTCAGTAGTGGAGGCTGGCCTTGAACTCCTATCCTCCTGCTTCCTCCTCCCAAGTGCTGGGATTGCAGCCGGGTGTTACCACACCCAGACCAACTATTTAAAAAATAATTAGTTGATAGGATTTTCTATATCATCAATACAAAGAAATAATAAATATAGCAGTTACCTACATCTGACCCCCACACATTGCTTACATGCATTGAAAGTTACCACTGTACCTCAGAGATATGTACAATTACCATGTGTCAGTTCAAAATGGTTTTTTAAAAAGCATTTGCCTTTATTTCCATAATAACGGAGTCATTAGATATATATGGTCTTTTGTGTCTTCTGACATGTATTCTTGCATATGAACGTTATAGTTAAATAAAATCTACCTTGTGCAAGCATTTGGTGCGTGAAGTTCACTTGGCATATATCTCCATCCGGCATAGCACATCTTCAAACTGATCGGCATGAAAAGGACCTAGATTTATTACGGGCCTCCACGTTGACCCTAACGAGGCTTTGCGCAGGCGCGGAAGGAAATCTCGCGAAACTGTCAGAACACTACCGAGAGGCGTAGTAGGGAGGCCATACTATCGCGAGAACTCTGTGTTCTGGGACCTGATCCTTTGGTGGCTAGTGTCTGGGTCTGTCCAAGGTCCACTCGGATCACCGGAAGAAGCGCTGCCAGCTGGTAAGGACGAGTGTGGCTGGCGGGCACGCTTCCTTTTGCTGCCCTTCGCCGCACCTCGCCCCGGCCTGCGGCCAGTCCCGCCCTGCTTCCTCCCCGACTCACGCGGGGTCCCTGGTCACCATCCTGCCTGTCTGTCTGTCTGCGTGCCGGGCCCAGCCTCCTCTTCCTTCCCCGCGTCACTCCAGGCCTAGACTCCTCTCTCTCCCCTGCGACCCGGAGCCACCACCTCGTCCTTCTTGCCCAAGCGCTGGGCCTGTCCTTTCTCCTCCCTCCTGTCGACATGCTCCGTCCCTGGGCCTCGATTTGCAGCCGGAAGCCCCGGGAACGCATCTTTTCCATCCCCTTCCCACACTGTCCTGACTGTCCCTGCCTGGTTTTTCAGTAGTGACAACCCTGTTTCTATGGCTCTTGTCTGGTTCTCCGGCCCCAGGTGGGCCTGTTTTCCATTACTGATCCAGAGCATATTTGCTCTTATTCCTAATGGTTTGACAAGGTGGAATGTTGGAGGCTGCCTATGTCGTGAACACAGTATTACTTAACATCCCCGTTAATTCTTCCAGTAGTCCCCCAGAGTAGCTTGATTTCTCCCTTCTGCTGACGAGATGAGAGAGCTTGCAGGGTCGTTGATATATTGCTCAGGAACTCATTAATAAAATGCTGTATGCTCGGGGTGCTGAGGATATAGCAATGTAAGAAGTTGGACATGCTGGCTCTGATGTAACTAAGGGCCTGTGGTTGGAATTTGGGAGGATGGATCATGTATGACAAGGCAGAGGGCTGGAGTTATCTGACCCTCCGTGCACGCAGCTCTCTTACCTGTGCTGTTTGGTAGGTACTGCTTACCATCCCTGCTTCCTTTGGGAAGGACTTGACTTTCTACCACTCGCTTGGGAATTTGGAATATTGTCGTAGGGCTCTTGAGTTATTTCCCTGAGTATGTATGGGACTGGTGGGTCAGTTGGTTCTCTGTTAGAATCCCACTGTGACATTTCTGAACTTTAAAGTACATCAGAATCTTGGGAAGAAATCCTTCCTTGGTTTTTTGAAAACAGGGGAGATTTATTTCATTTGTACTGCTCAGCAAGTTACAAGATTTACTCTTTGGATTTTTGTTTGTTTGTTTAAGAAGAGGGTGTCAGTTCCCCTTACATCTGGAGGTACAAGCCATTGTAAGTCACCTGATGTGGGTCCTGAGACCTGAACTCTGGCCCCTTGGGCGAGCAGCCACTGAGCCATCTCTCCAGCCCTGTTTGTTTTGCTTGTTTGATACAGGCTGCGGGAATCCTGGCTCTGTGGGATTACATAGGGGCATGCCATCACACCCAGCTGACTTGCTGTTTGGAAGGTTTGCTAGCTTGCAGAATTGTTCAGACCAGTGAGATGGGTTGCCTCTGGCACTCTTAACAGTCCTACATTCTCTCTCTCTCTCTCTCTCTCTCTCTCTCTCTCTCTCTCTCTCTCCATTTTCATTGGGTCTTTGTCTTTGAGTCTCTAGGAAAATAACCTAGACATTTAAAATTCTGTGGTTAAGGTTTTATCATGTCTGTCTAAGTCTCTCCAGTTTCATTATTCCTTTGAGAGAATATTTTCAAAAGCGGAAATCATTGAGCTACAGACAGGAGAATGTGCTTCTTAAAGGGGAGGTTTATCTAATTTTAGAAGTATGCAGGACTTACTCCCTCTCCAGTTTATTAAATCAGCATAGACTGCTAGGAACCTCAGGGATCTGTATATGGGTGTTGTAAAGCTCTGGGTTTTCTGGCACATGTCCCTTCTCCATTTGAGAGTCTCTCTGCTAGTGTTTTCTGGTGATTTGTCCATATAGTGTTAACATACTGGTAGGCACTTAGAGACCGTCACTGCACCTGCTAACTGGGCCTCTTATTTCAGAAATTTAGTGTTGTCAAAGAACCAGCGACACAAATTCTCCACTAGATGGCAGACTCAACTTACCATTGTATCCGCAGGAACACTGCCTGTCAGTTCAAGACCTCAAATACCTGAATAAGCTACATAAGCCTTAGCTGGTCCCTTCAAAATAACCTGGTGCGGTCGAGGGGTTTAGACTCATGCTGGATCTTAGCCAAATGGCTAAGAAGCAGTCAGACTCAGACTTTTGGTCCTGGAAGCTTGTGATGTAGGCATGGATAGTATTTAACTCTGTCAAGTCTATGATAGCTGCCAAGTTGAGCACTTTTTTTCTGGGGAGTATCACCGTCAGTACTTTCTATGCTTGTCTATCAGAAGAGCCGTTGTATTGTTGTCTTCAGCTTGTCTTCGGTGATTGTTAAATCTAACATTTCAGTCTAAATACCCCAGATCCTAGCTTGTCATACATACTCCTTGAATTAGATGGACTCACAGGCAAGTGAGCTAAATAATTAGTGTGTAGGTATTCTGTTGACTTATCTTCTATCTATCATGAATGACTCATGGTGTGCTCATGACCACTTTTACTCCAGGTAGGCTTTCCTGGCTTTGCTTGG